CCCTGGTGAGGTTTTATGGACACGTCTAACCGGGAGGAGGCCTAAAGGTAGACCCAGGACACGCTGGAGGGACTATTTCTCGGCTGGCCAGGGAACGCCTTGGGATTCCCCTGGAGGAGCTGGCTCAAGTGGCTGGGGAGAAGGAAGTCTGGGCGCCCCGCGACCCGACTCCGGATGAGCAGATGGTTTGTGTTTTTAATTTAGCTGAACTTTTATCTGATTTAAATCAAAAACACAAAACGGCCAAACTACCCCGTCTCATTTTACATTTACATCCGTTTCATTTAGTCACGTCTTGTTTTTACTTTTTTGTCTCATGTGTTTAAAAATGGGCAAACGAACAATTCTCCCACATCAAATTATGTATGAAGCTTCTGTTTAAAAAAATTAGTGAACGAATGTTTGAGCGATACTCGGTCATAACCAACATTTGGCTTAATTATGATACAATTCTTAGTATAATTACATAAACTTCATCAAAAACATCAGAAATTATGTTTTATGGTTATTTCATTTGTGTATTCTGTCAGTTATCTTATTTAGAAACTTTAACACTTCCTTATAAAGACAAACGTTTAAGTGTGATGTGCCGATTCTACTTTTAAAAGTTCATTTAGGGCAAAATAACTAATAAAAACAACTGAACATTATTTGACATCACTAAAAGCTAAACACAAAAATCTGAATCTATATCTAGATTTAGATCTTCTTAACCAAAACCATATTTGTTTCCCATAATTGTCATGAAGAAATTATAACAAAAACTAAATCAAAAGGACAAAAAGCAAACAAAAATAACAAAACAAACAAATAAACAAAAAAAAAAAAAAAACAAGAGAAGAGTTGATTATATTTCCCAGAAACCTGGGAATCGTATTTGGGGTCACAAAAGTAAACATTAGTCATGAATTTATGCTAAAATAGACAGTTTGTCCGACATAATCACCACCAAGACCTCATCTCTTTTTAGTTTACATTTTATTTGACAAGACAATGAATTGTAAAACATATACAACAGGTTTCCCTCAAAGCATACAAAACCATAAGTGATCTGTGACACAGAAAATCAACGAATAAAATCAAATACACTCACAAAAATAGGACTACATCTCCAGTGTCTATGTGTTTTTATTAGCATTCCCATTTTTAGTGTAAACACATTCCAAGTTTGTTTATTTCCCAGTTTCTTCATCTGTTCTACTGTCAAAGAAAAAATGTGGGAATTGAAAAGCTAAAAAGAACAAAGAAGGCACATCTGGCTCCGTGATGAAAAACTGTGGTGACAATCGATGAAGATGAGAGATGGGAGGAAAAAAACGGGAGGAAATTGGGATTGATAAAGGGGAGGATCAGAAACGTCTACAGCTTCTGTTTCAGGTATTGAACCCTTAACTGTTGGACCGGGGACGCAAAGCTAACACCTTAGCCACAAAGCTAACACCTGTCTCACATCAAAGGAAGCAGCCCAGAACCGAGCCACCTGACTCTGCAACCATTCCTCCAGACCAGCAGGGGGTGCCAAATGTAAAGTAATATATGAAAATAGGCACATGTAGGGAGCCTAGGAGTTTTTTCTCAATGTCCAGGCACGTGGCCTTGGGAGGCGATGTCTTGCGAGGCCAGGCACCTTGCTTACAAGGACACTGGTCTAGGAAAATGGTTAAATGGAACAGACTTGCATCACGTGACCGCGGCTTCCATGTAACGTCACGTGACACAAGAGATAACGTTATATTTTATGCGTGCAAGTTTCAATATAAATATATAACGAGGCTTTTACTTTTAAAATTGTGTATATGTTTATTAAGTTAAATATATAAGTGAGTTACTACCTGCTAGCCACCGAAGCTGCAACTACTAAGCAACTAACCAACCATAGACAACTTCTTTGGATCTAAAAAAAAAAAAACGTTTTAAATTAGTTGACTTACTTTTAAACTTGACATTTGTCCCGAAGTAGCTCTGATCCGCCGTCCTTGTGAAAATACTGCGGTGTATTCTGGGTAATGTTTGACCAAGGCTAGGCTACAAGACACCTCTCCTGTCCTTGCTCAGCTAGCTAAACGGCTAACAAACGGAGAACACACGCCTTGGTAGAACATGAACATTGGAACACGTGTTGGCGGATCCTGATGACGTATCTCCTAGGCAACCGGGACGGGGCCAAGGCATCAAGGCAAGGTTCCTTGGCATTGAGAAACTCCCTAAGTCACACCCTTCTACTTCCAGACCGTGAGTTCCCAGGAGTAAGAAAATACGAATGCAAGTCATCGGCTATTTTCTAATCCCATGGGCTTCACGTACGAGGTCTGTGAATTTTAAAGACATATTCTGATGTCAACAAAGCGCTTATTTTTGAACAGCGGGAAACGTTATTTTAAGTTTTGTGTGAAAATACGTGTAGGACCTCGAATGAGTCATCATTTTGACATCATCAAACCAGACACGGAGAAGAAAATGGCTTTGAGTTTAGCGAGCTTCGAATCTTTCGTCCATGGCGACAGAAGGAGCATTAACCCCCCCCCCCCCCCCCCCCCCATGAATCTGGCCATGTAGTAAGGGTGTGACTACAAGTGTGAATGAAGGAATGATACACTGTAGTGCAGAGGTGTGACCAAGTCACTGCTTAGCAAGTGACAAGTCTTTCCAGTCAAGTCTCAAGTCAAGTCCAAGTCAAAGACAACTAAGTCCAAGTCGAGTCTTAAGTCAACGATGTGCAAGTCCAAATTCAAATCTTTAACTTAGAATTTTCAAGTCATAATCTAGTCATCTGTCCAACTTCTATTTAATGACGATGATAATTAAAGTTTCTTAAAGCTTTGTTTATTTGCTCAAACAGCAGAAAGAGCATCTGAACTTGATTCTAAACAAAGTGCTGCTGCATTTAGCAGTAAATCATTTAGCGTTCAAGACTGAGTCAAGTCGTCTTTATAGATTTGATCAAGTCAGAAGTCATTAAAATCATGACTCGAGTCCAAGTCATGTGACTCGAGTCCACACCTCTGCTGTAGTGTAAAGCGCTTTGGAGTCCTCTGACTCAGAAAGACGCTACTAGTGCAGATCATTTATCATAAGTAGTGAGATTTTGCGGTGATTTCATCAATACAGCCTCTGATTTGTAGACATTTTATTTATGAATTTTTACAAGTGGATCTCAAAGTTTGTGACAAAGTCGAAACTCACACCATCACTTTTCATTTTAATTGAAGTACAACATACGTGTGATTCAGGGCGAAAGGCAAAGTGGAGGAGAAACCACATTTTATTGGCCCGTTTACCGAAACCCATGAGCCGACCGGAAGGGAAGGAGACCTGGGCTCCCTATAGCTTTATTTAGCTCCTTGTGATATAAATTAAAACGCGTTTAAAGTCACCAAAAATCTAAAGGTAAACAAAAATACACAAAGTCAAATCTAAATATATAGAGTTACATCTAATATATAAAATTTAGTCTTCGGCTAAATTCAGACTAGAAGCATTCAACCAAAATAAAAGTCGTTCACTATACTCTCCGATCGGCTCGAGGGTCCCTGAACGGGGCTAAAAACGCTATTTTCTCACACGCTTTGCCTTGGATCGCACATATGTTGTACTCAGGGTCCGAAATTAACACTCGCCACTCCCCAAATGCGAGTAAATTGCTCCATTTGGCGAGTAAATTTTTGAGCTCTACCTGCCACCTGGCGAGTAAATGTTTGCACCAAATTAGTTATGTTCATCAGTCATCTTCCACGGATTTCTGATACTCCTCCCGCCTGCATGCAACGTACACAAACGTACGCGAAACGTGAACCCCGCATCCAACGTCATTTCCACCTATCCCATTCAATCAGTTTATCAAGTTAGCAGTTAGCTTCGTGTTAAAACTAGCAGTGAAAAGTGGCGGTTTTTAACTGGAGTCAGCCAGCCTTCCAAAAGAAAACTCGTCGAACTGGAAGAAAAACCACCAGGACCAGTGGCAACCAGAAGATTTTGTGAAAAGTGGCGAACTGGAGACGGTGGAGTCGTGAGACAATTATGATGCCCACGTAGCGTTGCTGCCTTTCACAGACAGCTGTCCCTCGGCATTCTTCAAATATCCAAAAAATGCCCGTACTTCCGACTTTGTCTTCTTTGAGGGATAATAAATGTCCCGAGCGCTGCCGTCTCCTCCTGCCATTATTTCAGCTTTAGCTTAAAGAAAGTTTTGGTCGTAAACAACAAAGTGCGCATGTGCCGCCGGCAACTTCCAGCAGATGATACGGTGGCTGGTAAGGGTCACCGTGCCTACACCGCAGCCGCGGTAATCCACCGAGACAACCCTAGCCCTGACACACTTTCAGATATTCTCATGGTGCAGCTGTGTTCTCCAGAGATCAAGGACTATGACCCAAATGAGGCTGTAATGCTTTGGCACAAAGACGGTGTCAGAAGCAGGAGGCCAGACTTCATGGACAGAGAAACAAGGAGTCTGACTAGATTTCAATGAAAGAGTTCATAAAAACATCTCTAAAAATAAATAAATAAATAGTAAAAATGACAAAAGAGTTGTTTTTCTTATTAATTGAAGTTTTAATTATTTTGTCACTCTGTTTGGAATCAACATAATATAGAATAACATGCGTTAGGTGGATCTAAATCATTTAGAATTTTGGCTGGTAAAAAATATGCTTGGCCGGTAGATTTTCATCATCTACCAGCCAACTTGGCCGGTGAGTAAAAAATTTAATTTCGGACCCTGGTTGTACTGCAATTTACATGAAAACCAATGATGCTGTTTCGACCACGCCTGTCACGTACTTTGAGATTCATCAGCTTGTAGAAGTTTGTAATCATCATGTTTACACTCCAGACATCTGTACGTCGTATTTATGACGTCACCACAGAATCTCCTCCGCCTAGCGTAGCTGCTACTCACCACATGACCAGATTTATGGTGGTTCTTTCCTCCTGATAAGGAGACTTGACTCTAAAAATATAATTTCAAAAATGTTATTCAAAATTAAATGTGGTTGGAGTCATTCACACACACACACACACACACACACACACACACACACACACACACACACACACACACACACACACACACACACACACACGCTCGAAACCTTCAGAACACACTTCTTTGCACGATTATCTATTAAAACATCAAACTTCACGTCTGTCCTCGAAAACGGCAGAAAAATGCATTTCTCTGAACCTTTAGATGACGCTCCGTTACTAAACCGAAGACTCGGGATAAAATCAAACGATCCCCGAATGAGGGCGCCGAGCCAAAACTCATAAGTGAACGCTGGCGTCGGGGTCTTGATGATTGTCTTTTTCCTTTTCCTCAATCTATCAAGAGCAGCCCGCTGGCAAACACATTAATCCGCAGGAAACTAAACATTCATTCATTTTGTGGAATTAATTTGCAGAAATAAATGCAGAACCAAAACATTAAGCCCCCCCGATGACAGTTTTTGTTCTGAGGCAGGGTTATAAAATACATCACACACGATTGTCGAACACTGAAACGTAAAAGTGAGTCAAAAAGCCGTTAATATGGCACAACTCGTCCTGAAAAATATGGAAATAGCTTTTTGTTCCCCCCCGACTATCCATGCAGCATGCAGACATTCCCTTTAATGAAAACATCAGAGCCTGACATCAGACAGCAAAAGAAGACGTTACACCATTAGTCCCTTCTTATCCGGCATCCACGATAAATACCATCCTTTATAAAAGACTCAGACGATTTGTAAAGTAAACAAGGACGAGCAACCTAATGGGTTTGAATGTTTGCAACTTCAAAAACAAACATGGCGCGGATTCGGCTTGCAGGGTGAAAATGCCTGAATAAAAATCCTTATGAGGGACCAAACTAAATGTGAGCAGTCTGTAACTTCCCAGAGCCAGACTGGTCCTTACAGCTTTTACTACGTTTTACTAGTTTAGTTTTTTTGGCCGTTGTATGTCTCCATACGTTGCAGAAGACAGTAGCTGACCCTGTGACCCAGAAACAAGACCAGGAGGTTAGTTTATAATGCGAGCATGATCCAACCTCGACCCGACACAGACATGCGTATGCTGCTAGTTTCAGCCCAACCCCCTCCTGTAGCAGGTTCCTGTTGCATTCTGGGAGGCAGAAGGACATCATTAGCTACTGATTAGCTCCTAGCTAGCTGGAACTGGAGGTGATAGCTAGGTTCGCTACTCGGGCGGTATTCAGGCAGGTGGCCAGAGCTATCAGCTAGGTCTCATAAAATCACTGAAGAGTTAAAAAAAGTTGAGCGTGTTGTCAGCTGTCTCAGGATCAGAGCACACAACCATCTGGTAGCCCCGCCCCCAGACGACCTGACCAATCAGCAGACTGAAGGCTCTCACTCACTGGGTTTGATAGAATAATCCGAACCACGGGCGTAAAACTCCCGCTGATCGAACTTCTGAACTGACGTGGACCAGAGGAATCTACAGGAGACGATTAAGACCACTTAGGCCCTGTCCACACGTCGCCGAGGATCTGCCAAAACGTAGATATTTTTCTACGTTTTGGCCTGTCATCCACACGAAAATGGATCTTTTTAAAAACTCCGGCCAAAGAGAAGATCTGCGTTTTCTCCGTTTTGGGTGTCTGCGTGTGGACAGACAAAACCGGAGTTTTAAGGTCCGCAACGTCACTTTCCGCGACAAAAAAATGCTGACATCACGTGTGCGACCTGTGTTTACACTAGCCGACAACATGGATGCCCTCAGAGCTGCGCTCGCTTTATCAATCGTCCAAGCGCTTTTTGCTTGTTTGTTTTTGCAAGAGGAATTACTGCTCCTTGCGGAAGACCACAGACGAAGGACGAGGTTAAGAACGGGAGAAGTACTGCCGCCTACTGGTCTGGCATGTCCTTAACAACGTATTTATGCGGGTACGTGTGGACAGAGTTTTGTTTTAAATCGAGGTGGTGTGGATGCGAGTTTTTGGAGGGGCGGATATTCGTTTTTAAAAACCCGGCTACATGTGGACTAGGCCTAAAACTAAAAAGATAAGACTTCTGACTTAAATCTCAGAAACCAAAAATCTGAAATCTGAGATAAGTCATTTCTTTCTTTTCAGTGGCTCTTATCCTCGTCCGAAGAACCAGACTACAGGCGTGATGACCTGTCGTGATTTATGACGTGTTTAGCTGATTTTGGCTGACCCCAGACTCTCCAAACTGGGCTCATCCTGTTTTCTTCTGACTGATCAGAACCTCTGTAATAAAACCAAAAACCACCCGTCTGAAACCGTTACGTCAGAGAGAGCGATGCATCCCGGGTCTACGGAGCAGAAAGCGCCGCCCGACGCGATCCGCCGTCGGTGCGCTGGTAACCGGCGCCGTCTGCTGCAGCCAACATGGAGACTCTGAACCGTTTCTGTGGCTTCAGGATGAAATAAAAGCAGGTTTGATGTCAGTGATGGCAGCTTTAGAGCGCCTGGGGAGGCGCCACACAACACAAAAGGCGTTCAAACCAAAGAGAAGGAGCAACTTAAAGTAGATGTGGGCGGGCTGCCGTGGATGTGGGTGACAGACGCAGAGATGCAGGTTAGCTTTTAGAAAAGCAGCGTCTTTTTCCGATGTTCGGAAATCTTTTCACACAAATGAAGAATCTGAATTGGGAACGCGTTCCAACAAGCCACGGATCATGCCATGCACAGCAACATGAACAAGGAATAAAACCCACACCATTTATCTGTTAATCATCAAACACCTCAGCATTAAGACACGACGTCAACAAACTCATGAAAAGTAAAGTAATAATAATAATAAACACCTTTAGTCGCCCGCCCCCTGTACAGAGGCACTAATAACACCTACCGTATTTCCCGGACTATAAGCCGCAACTTTTTTCCCACGCTTTGAACCATGTGGCTTATAATGAGGTGCGCTCTGTAGCCGGAAATTACGGTACACATGTTTATTTTTGACACGTTTCACCAACAATATATTATTAATAATCAGTAATATTTACACTTTGAATCATTTGGTACCGTTTGACATCTGTGAACCAGTTTCTGCTTCAGGCTGAAGATGAGCTGTTTTTAAAAGTAGCTAAAAATCTTCAGAATGTGTAAAAGTTTCAGTGAAGGTGTTGGAATGGCAGTTTTCCCTGTGAGTTTTCTCCCGCTCACTCAGAAATTCCCACTTTTAAAATAAAAACGGTGAGAAAATGTTAACGTTTTGGTTCCACCGTGATGCGATCAGCTCTGGTTTACCAACTCGTCCGCTTTACTCGGGGCATTTACTAAAACGCTGCGCGTGCGTCTCCCGCCAGATATAACACAACGTCTTTTTCCGAAGTGACGACGTTTGAAGGTTTTCATCATTTCCTGAAGTTTCCAGGTTTTATGACATCATCCTTATCCCAGTATCATCGGACTTTTACAGAAACTATTCATGATTTTTCTTTGCATTTTGATTTGCTGTAGATATAAAATCTTGCTTTGCACTATTTCTAGTCACCATGTGGGTTTGAGTCTTGCACCATCAACCATCCAATCACGTAGCAGTGATGTCATAGTTCCTGTGTTTAGCATCGACTCACCGGCTGAAGCAGATGGGTGATTCAGACAGATGGTGCTTCAAAAGTGATCAGCTGTTCTGAAATATTTTGCATGCATGAAGTTATTATGGGATGGCACTACATGCATGTGAATCAGTGGTGTCCATAATAGTCCCCCAGGACCCACCTGGTTTAACCAGCTGGTGATCAGCAGACTTCTGCAGAGCTAGGTGAGCTGCTGAATGGGTTATTCAAGCATTAAACCAGGTGTGTTTCAGACTTCTGGAACGTTCCTCTGGCCTCCAAGTGGAACTTCAGTCGACTGTAAACTATCCAGAATAATGCAGACGAGTTACGGAGCTTTTCATCTTTCTTAGACACGTCGGAGACTCAGAACAACGTTCATCAGGTGGAAAAAGTCCAAACATCACCCAAATAAAAGTTTTGGACTTTTTCTAAGTTCAGATTTGTACAAAAACATCACAAAGAGAAAAAGGTGAAAGGTATTTTAGTGGAAGAAATGATAATTAATTTATAATACATTCTAGATTAATATCTGTTGTTGATATTTAGAGATAAAGTGTCTGTAAACAGCTGAGCTCCGGTGCAGCACAAAAACAATCATTCAGAGATTTTATGGCACAAACGTTGCTTTCGACTGTTTTTGGTGCAAACAAGTTCCAGTTTTTCAACACCTCTGGTTTAAAAGCTCGCCTCATCTTACGCTGCCTGCATATGATTTCAAAGGCTTCAGAGAAACTAGATGAAAAATAAAAACTCTTCATATTTAACCAAGTTTCGGTGAATCTGAACACAAAACGTTTCAAACCCGACGCTAAATCTGTGAGGATGTTAAAAGCTCCAAAAGTTTCATTTACAGTGGTGGACAGGTGTGCTGAGTAACTCCGGTAACCACACCTTTGTCGTGGTGGGTTTCTTGTTGCTACGGTTACACATACATGGGGGAAGAGACAAAGCTCTCGCCACGTGGAATATTAGCAACCGCAGGCCCGTGATTGGATGAATCGTTGCCGTGGTGACCATCCGCAGAGTTGTCCAGGACCGGAGGGGCGCCGCCATTCCGGGCTCCAGAGTTCTCCTCATTCAGGTTCTGAAAAGGTCCAAAAGAGTCCCGGTTATCACGGCAACGCTATGAACCTGAGATTAAATCTGAAAATGTTCACTTTTGTTTTGGATCGTGGTTCGGTGAAGTCAGAAAAGATACTCCACATGAAGCAAAACACGAACTAGAACAGCGGCTAAACAAATCCTACATGCACTCCGGCGTTCAATGTCATTTAGGACTCTCTTCCATAGCTGTCAGCGTCTGCATGCATAAAGTACATGTGGCATTTAAAGAGAACTAGGAAATGTTAATGCTGCTCCTAGTGGCTCGTTAGCGTTACCAAGGTAACCACCAGTGGCTCGTTAGAGGTAAAATCAATCCTTTGCTAATATTGCTGATAAGTAGAAGTCACTCCTCAAATCCACACAGAGCAGCTAATCCAAGACTCTGACTGACCAAAAAAAGATATAATCTGAAATCGAGTAGACGCATAATCTTGAGATTTAGATAATCCTGGATTTATTAGCTTTGCAAAGTGCAGCGTTCAGGACAGAAGTGATAGTTTGCCCAGGTTAAAGTGTATTAAACACGGTTTAAATCCGTTAGGAGTCCAGTTTCAGGTGAGAGAAGGTGATTTAGGTCCAGCAGAGATTAGACACTGCTCTTTTATCAGATTAGAGAGAACAGAAGAACTCTTCGGTGTCTGGATCGAAGCTAATGAGCTAGCAGCTATCTGGAGTGAAGCTAATGAGCTAGCAGCTATCTGGAGTGAAGCTAATGAGCTAGCGGCTATCTGGAGTGAAACTGATGAGCTAGCAGCTATCTGGAGAGACGCTAATGAGCTAGCAGCTATCTGGAGTGAAGCTAATGAGCTAGCGGCTATCTGGAGTGAAACTGATGAGCTAGCAGCTATCTGGAGAGACGCTAATGAGCTAGCAGCTATCTGGAGTGAAACTGATGAGCTAGCAGCTATCTGGAGAGACGATAATGAGCTAACAGCTATCTGGAGTGAAACTGATGAGCTACCAGCTATCTGGAGAGACGCTAATGAGCTAGCAGCTATCTGGAGTGAAGCTGATGAGGTAGCAGCTATCTGGAGAGACGCTAATGAGCTAGCAGCTATCTGGAGTGAAGCTGATGAGGTAGCAGCTATCTGGAGAGACGCTAATGAGCTAGCAGCTATCTGGAGTGAAACTGATGAGCTAGCAGCTATCTGGAGAGACGCTAATGAGCTAGCAGCTATCTGGAGTGAAGATGATGAGCTAGCAGCTATCTGGAGTGAAGAGGATGAGCTAGCAGCTATCTGGAGTGAAGAGGATGAGCTAGCAGCTATCTGGAGAGACACTAATGAGCTAGCAGCTATCTGGAGTGAAACTGATGAGCTAGCAGCTATCTGGAGTGAAGAGGATGAGCTAGCAGCTATCCGGAGAGACGCTAATGAGCTAGCAGCTATCTGGAGTGAAGATGATGAGCTAGCAGCTATCTGGAGTGAAGAGGATGAGCTAGCAGCTATCTGGAGAGACACTAATGAGCTAGCAGCTATCTGGAGTGAAGCTGATGATCTAGCAGCTATCTGGATCAAAGCTAATGTTTCTCAGGAATCTCTACCTGATGAATTTCTCCCGAGTTTGTTGCTTAAATGTTTATTTCCTCCTTTTTTAATGAGTCAACATTTCCATGAGGGTTTACTCTGCTCCTGGAGGGCTCCTTCCTGCAGGCCTCCCTCACTCAAACACACCTGATGTAGACCAAAGGGTGATCCACAGACCTGCAGATTCGACGTGATGAAGGAGGTGGCGACCAAAACTACCGTCGATCATCTGAATCCTTCAGGAGATGTTCCAATCAACAGAAACCTGAGCACTACAGATCCCATGACTGGATCTATTCAAGCTTTTAAACATATTTTGTGTGTTTCTGACCCGCGAGTTAGCCGTTAGCTCGACTTCTCCGTGGGAATTCTCTAGAATCAGCTCGCTCTACTGCAGATAGGACCATGCCTGCTCATAAACTCTCCTCACTAGAGGGGAAGCACCGTCTGATTGGCTGGATCAACATCAGCTGCACACATGCAAACATCTGACTGTGTCAGCAGTGGTGTGTGAAGCGTTCCCGTCGGCGGTGTGTGTTAGTTACTGTGGCAGGCTCTCTCCCCGTGGGCTCGTAGTAAACCTCTCCTGGGCTCAGAGGAGCCGTCTCTGCGGCAGTGGGCGGCTCTGACGGCTTGTTCAGCTGCATGCACACACACAGACCAGCGCAGGAGAGGAGAAAACAGAGAAACATGCAGTCAAGAGGAGAAGACAGGAGGGGACGTTGAGACGCTTCACGAGGACATGTTAACAAGCTGATAAAAGCAACGGCGAGAGCCTTCAGCTGCACAAACACTGGAGTGGAGCTCCACTTACAAGCTGCTAAACAAGCATCCAGGTTTTCGTTTCCTCTGGAATATTAAAGTTTTAGCAACACATTCATTTGCTGTTTGAGCTGTTGGCAGGATTCTAATCCCAGTTCCTGCTGCTTTTCTCACTGTGTTTTCATGCTGCAGCTTTTTCCAGCTGGAACATCTCTGAACTCTGATGTGATTTTTTTATTTTTACATTTTTGTACCCTCTCCTGCGACGAGCCACCCAGTGACAGATGCAACAAAGCAAGCTGCACCCCCCCCCCCCCCCCCCCCCCGGGCCGAGTCCTTTGGAGGATTCTCCTAAAAAGATGGAAGTGATGCAGATTCAAGCCAAGTCTTTGTTTACGTTTCTCTTACAGCGGGAATTTCTGGGTCCTGTTCTTTAGTTTTACTCTGAAAATATCTGTTCTGAAGTTTTCTCCCTTTCTACCATTAAACTACAGTGTATTTATACTAACGTTACCTCTGGTGTATACAGCTGAGATTAGGATTATTATGAATCCAATCTAAGGAAATTACCTAATACGTGTACTTCCCGTTTCTTCCACAATTAAAACAACAAAAACTCAAATAAACCATCAATTAAAACAACAATTTTACAAATGAAGTGGGAGTTTTTCTTAGTTGTTGTTTGAAACAATAAAAATTAGTGAACAAAAAAATCTATCTAATTTATTAGAGCAATTGATTAATCTTGATTAATCACATTTTAATCTTTTATCATTTTGTGTCCAAGCAAATAATTTTATTATCATAAATAAACTTATTGAGGCACATATGACCCCCCCCCTATTGAGTGTAATCCTGTAACAAGGACTATGTTATTACTTTGGTTTCATTATGAAAGGAACCATTGTGGGATAATTATTAGTTTATGTGTTATTGATGAAGGTTAAAGGGACATGGAACACTGTAAATGTTGTGCAGTGACCTGAACACCAGGTGGCAGCAGAGCCCTGCTAAAACATATAGAGGTGTAGCGTAGAGTTGAGGGGAAGTTCTGCTGAGGGTTTCTATATCAGTGGTTCCCAAATCTTATCTTTTAGGACCCCCTTTCCCATGTCTCAGACAAGCCAGGACCCTGAACCCCAACCCCAACATGCATGAACATTAGAGCTGAAACGATTCCTCGAGTACCTCGAATAATTCGAGTACAAAAAATCCTCGAGTCAAATTCTCTGCCTCGAGGATTCGTTTAATTCATATTTAATTAATTCGTGGCTTTGCAATCGCCCGGGGTCATGTTTCACCCGGACCGAAATAAGTGACGCACATGCCCACTGGACTGAATGCACACGCGAGTAGCGAATATAACTTAACTTTCTCTTAACAACGTGGGCACCGGTGGAGTGCGAAAAAGACAGAAAAAGTCAAAGTTGTGGGACCATCTTTCACGTCGTAAGACGGAAAACGTAGTCCAGTATAAATACTGTAAAATGGATTTAGCCTAGCACAACACCACATCCTCCGTGCTGCAGCACCTGTAAATGTCACTTCTGCAAGCGGACTCAGAGCCTCTACAAGATAATGCTTTTTAGCCTGTTTTTCTATATATTCTGCGGACTCTGCGACTTTTTCGTTTGTAGCAGTCAGTTTCAGCTCACACCTTACATCTGGTAGCAACACGTCGGACTTAAAATGTGCTAAAAATAGCAGTTTTTACACAACACGTTGGACTTTTTATTGTGTTATTGATGTCTGTTGTCCCTCGGGGTTTCTGCAGGAGGACACGGGTATTTATGAGTGGCGGAGGAAAACGAAAGAAAGTAAATAAATGTTTTGTGATCAGTATAATTTGACAAAACCACAGCAAACATGCTTTTGGCAATCCTTGTTAGTGTGGGAAAAAAAAGTGTAGAAATTAAAACGGACGTGTGTTAATAGGGAAACAGCCGGCGAGCTGTTTGCGCCGTGAGCGGTTCTGGTTCTGTTTGGGCCGCAGCCGCTCGCAGCGTTATCCTCCTAGTTTTTGTCTGACTTGCCGGCGAGCAGATTCTCACACGAGGGGAAAATCGGCTCAGGTTGTTTACTTATTTTTTGCACAGGCATTTGTTTACTGTGAAGTAAAGTTGAAGTGCTGAAGTTATGCAAACTAATTTTGAATAAAACTTGAAGAATAACTGGCAATTGCTTGCTCATTTTAAGAGGTCTTTCATAATTATAACATGCTATTTGATATCAAATCACTTTTATTGTCACGTCACATGTGCAGGTACACTGGTACAGTACATGCGAGTGAAATTCTTGTGTGCGAGCTTCACAGCAACAGAGTTGTGCAAAAATACAGTAATGTAAAAACAAGTAAAATATAAAAATGGCTAATCTAAGTATACAAATGAATAAAGTAAACAATAAGATAAGAGATATAAAATGTACAGAGGTTGGTATGTGCAAAACAGTGGCATTAATGTACAGTATGGAGCGTGTAATGTTGGAACTTGGTGGAGCTCGCGACGAGGCAGCCATACTCGACGCCATCTTGGCTCATCAATATATGATATAATGGTTTACAAACACAAAAGGGTAATTTATTAGAGTACTCGATTAATCGAAAAAAATATTCGATAGAGTACTCGATTACAAAAATATTCGATAGCTGCAGCCCTAATGAACATATTAAATTGGATAATTTACAAACTTTATACAGAGTAAAAACTTTTATATGGAGTTCTGATTGTATTGTAGCGGGATTTTATACATTTAATGTTACAAACACAATTTTGCTAACCTCACAAATCAATAAAACAAAATTGTGGGGACCCCTCGGGGGTCCCGAACCCCCAATTTGGGAACCCTTGTTCTAGATGAATGCTTGTTCCTCCTGCTGTAATAAAGTTCAGATGGATAAAGTTACTTCCTGCCTGCTTTCTACCGACTACAACACCTAACAGTAAAATGTTTATTTTCATGATTCATTTGTATTAAATTGTAGTTTTAGTTGTTTAGAGCAAATAAAAGATGTTTATATGGCCTTGTAGTTGAGGCTCTGCAGGGCATAAAATGGATGCTTGACTTTTCCGGTCCCAACTGGGGGGTGCCCATGCCCTAAATTGTTAACATATACAGTAATTTTGTTCTAATTATTAATAGTAATTAACACTTTAAATACTCAGTCCTGATAAAGACATTTAGTAAACCATCACTTTATTTTATCAGGACTCATATTTCACATAAAGCCTTAAACTTTAAGGTTCTTGTATGTTAGCCTCAGAGACTGAAGGTTTGATGATTGTCAGTCTTTTTATCCTGCAGCTAAAAAAACACCTAAAAATCTGAACCTGTCCTTTCAGCAGACATTTATCAGCTTTTTCATTCCTAATCAACATAAAACGAGCAGGTTTTAGACTCATTACATAAACAGACTGAAATGTGAAGGAATGATGGAGAAAAAGCAATGAGCTCTAATGGAGCTCCTTATAAAACAAGCTAATTATTAGGGCCACATGTGAGTCTGATCAATAGCCATTAGCTCCATTATGAAGTGTGTGTGTGTGTGTGTGTGTGTGTGTGTGTGTGTGTGTGTGTCCATCACTCACCATCTCCGTGGAGCTGCCGGCCTTCACTGGAGGGGGGGGCTTGTGCTTGGGGGGCCCTCTGATTGGACGACAGACAAAAACGTGAATCTGCATCGATCAGCTGCTTTGTTAAAACATCACATTTCTTTGTGTTTCAAAGACAAAACGTTCGGTTCTTCTGAGAAAAAGCAGAAATGAAATATTGAGCCCTGAAAATGTCCCTTTGTGTCGTAACTCAATCAGAGCTTCTGGTGGAGGAGAATGCAGCCTTCGGTAGAGACATCTCACTGTTGGTTTAAAGATTTTCTCCCTGAATGACTCGATCTATCCGACCAACAGGGGAAGAAATGGTTTGATTTGACTTTACCGTAAAGGTTGAGCCAAAAAGCTCCGATTGAACTCTGCCCGAGTGGTTATTCTTTTCTTAGCCAGCCCCGGGGTTCTGGTCGTGGTGGAGGCCTAGCTGTTGTTTTCAGAGACCATCTTCCCTGTAGCTCTACAACCTCTGGTCACTTTGCTTCCTTTGAACTGCAGCTGATTAAAGTCGGGCGTAAGGATCCGTTCTACTGTGCTGTGGTCTATCGTCCACCTGGTCCAAACAGTTCTTTCCTTCAGGAGTTTAGTGACTTTCTATCCTCCACTGTGAAGCTGTCCAGACTGGTGATTGTTGGTGACTTTAACATCCACGTTGATGATCCCTCGGATCTCTTTGCCATGAATTTCTCCAGCCTTATGGACTCCTTCGGCTTTACCCAGCATGTTTCTGACCCCACACACACCAGGGGACACACGACCGTGTTTTTACCCTGAGTCTAAATGCTGACAGTGTTTGTCCTGAGGACGTTTATATTTCAGATCACCATTGCATTTTCTTTAACTTGTCAGTTTCTGCGTCCCCACCTCCTGCTCGCCGTATGGTTAGTTCTTGTTTTCTTAATGAGAGCACAGCTAGCAATTTTTCTGCTGCTTTTGATCCACCCTGTTCTTCTGATAACGACCCAGATTCCTTAACTTCTCAGTTTAACGAGTACTGCCTCTCCATTCTGGACAACATCTGTCCTGTCAGAGCCAGATCAGGTCCTGCAGAGAACCCTTCTCCCTGGTTTAATGACAGCCTTCGCAGCCTGAAGCACCAATGCAGAAAAATTGAGCGTTTGTGGAAGAAAACCCATCTCCACGTCCATCTGCTGCACCTAAAGGATCTTCTGACATCCTTTAACTCTGCAGTCAGAGATGCTAGGGTTTCTTATTTCTCCAACCTGGTGTCCCAGAGCAAAGGGAACCCCAAGGTGCTGTTTAACACCATCAGCAGCATCGTCTCTCCTGCCTCTCCTACAGCCTCCATCCACTCTGTTGCAGACTGTGAGAACTTTCTGTCTTTCTTTGTGGACAAAGTCAATAAGGTTAGATCTAGCATCTCTCCTTCAGCCTTATCGCTGCCTCTCCCGACTCCAACCAGGCCCATCATCCTAGATAGCTTTGCTCCTGTTTCTTTGCCTGAGTTAACCAAACTAGTTAACTCTATGAAGACCTCTGCATGCCCCCTCCACATCGTACCCTCATCTTTGTTTAAAAGTGCTTTTCAGTCCATCGGTCCCAGCGTGCTCTCTATAATTAATGCTTCTCTGGTTTCTGGTCAGGTCCCTGCTTACTTTAAGAACGCTGTAATCCACCCGCTTCTTAAAAAACCGAGTCTTGACGCCTCTCTCCATAGCAGCTTCAGACCCATCTCTAAACTTCCATTTTGCTCTTTAAACTCGTAGAATAAACAGGAATATTTCTAATATTTAGAAGAAGAAGAAGATATAATTTCTATAGCGCCTCTCAAGATAAAAATCAGGAGGCGCTTCACAAAAACAAAAAATGTAAAAATATCAAAAAGAATTTAGAAAATGTTTAAAATATATTTTAAATGGGCAAAAATAGACAATTGTGATTAAAAATGTTAAGAAAGAGAGAGAGTGAACAGGAAAGAGGGAAATCAGTGGATCCTGAGGAAGGTGGAATAGGTGGGAGAGCAGAATAAAGAGAGAGAGGTGAAGAAGGTCATACAAAAACCAGCTTGAACAAGTGAGTCTTCAGCTGCTTTTTAAAGGAGACCACTGAGTCCACTGATCTCAGGCTCAGGGGGAGAGAGGTCCAGAGTCTGGGGGCCACAGCAGCAAATGATCTGTCACCTTTGACCTTTAGCCTGGTGCTGCACAACCAGTAGGCTTTGATCACTGGACCTCAGGGACCTGCTGGGGGTGGAGGGACTAAGAAGATCACCAATGTATGACGGTGCTTGTCCATGTAAGGCCCTCGTGACTTTTATCTTGAGAGGCGCTATAGAAATGATATTTTATTCTTCTTCTAAATATTAGAAATAATTCTGTTTATTCTACAAGTTTAAAGAGCAAAATGCGTTTTTTATGCAGAACACCAGAGAAATCTGAGAATTGTCTTAAGTAGCTGTTATTTAATTAAACTTTAACCATTTTTAAGTTTAATTCTGTGAATCATGAATTGATCTCACCTACTTCCTGAATTCAAATTTTCAATTCAAGTTCAATTCAGTTCATTTATAAAGCGCCAAATCACGACAAGAGTCGTCTCAAGGACCTTCACACAGTAAACATCCCAATTCAGGTCAGTTCATTAAGCCAATCAGTAAAATGTTTCCTATATAAGGAACCCAGCAGGTCGCATCGAGTCACTGACTAGTGTCAGAGTCTTTACAGCAATCCTCATACTAAGCAAGCATGCAGCGACAGTGGAGAGGAAAACTCCCTTTTAACAGGAAGAAACCTCCAGAGGATCCTGGCTCAGTATAAGCAGCCATCCTCCACGACTCACTGGGAACAGCCTCTGTTCAGAGAAACAGAGTTCACATCCTTCATGACTGATATGCTAATGGCTAGCTTGAGTGTCACAGATTTCCATGCTGGTTTTACTCTACACACATGTTCCTGCAGAAACTTTCAGAAATTGCTGCTGAATCAGATTCAGATGAATGATGACTCACTATGATGACATCATTAAATACTGTTAGCTATTTATTTATTAATGTTTATTACATAAAACATGTTTTATCCCAGAGTAAAAAAAGTCATTATTTATATTTCCCCCGCATGTCGCTGATATGACATCATCATCTAGTTTTAGCAGGTTTGTCATTTCTGCTTTGAGACTCGGGGTTTAGTTGTACTTTCTGATCATTCATCGCCAGAAGCAGCATCTCGTGTCTTCTGTCAGTGACTTTTGATATAAAAAAACTTTAGTTTCCTCAGAGGTTGAAGGAATCTGGATTAGCAGCTGCAGCCTGGAGGAGGAGGAGGAGGAGGAGGAGGAGCGGAGAACGCCCTTCTGCAAACTTCAGGTCAGGATTTGTAACCAAACCAGCTCCTTTAACGATGTGATGGTGTTAATGAGTTTAAGCTGCAGGATGACGTGTGTGTGTGTGTGTGTGTGTACGTACTCTGCGTCCTCCTGACGTTTGTGGATGAGGACGATGGTGCCAACGGTGATGCAGATGATGATGAGAGCACCCAGAATCCCTCCTATGATGGCACCTGTTGGCGGGCCTCGGATGAGTTCTCGTTTCTCCTCTT